TTAAAAATATTTATACAATTTATAACTTTTCATAAAATACTTTAATAAAAAAGTGTTTGGAATTGTCCCCCCACCACAACTACCCCCACTACTACCGTCGCCACCATACCATCACCTCTACTACAACAACGACCACCATTGCCACAACTGTTGCCACCCCACGACCACCACCACACCCATCGCCCCCACCCCTTTTTTTTTTTTTTTTTTTAGTTTCCCAAGGTATCCCCAGGCTTCGCCCAAAACTAATCCTCCGAGGTACGGTGGAGCACCGAAACGGGAACCTCTCCCAAGAAGGTGTGTTGCATTCACAAGGGTTCGAAATTGAGACCACTNTTTTTAGTTTCCCAAGGTATCCCCAGGCTTCGCCCAAAACTAATCCTCCGAGGTACGGTGGAGCACCGAAAACGGGGACCTCTCCCAAGAAGGTGTGTTGCATCCACATGGGTTCGAAACTGAGACCGCCTGCTTAAGCCACCAAAGCCCCTTCCACTCAGGCCAACCTTTGTTGGTGGCCCACCACTACCACAACCCTTATTCCACTACCACCACCGTTGTCGCCACCCTACCACGCTCACCGCTCTACCACCATTTCTTCCACAACAACCACATCCACCGTCTCACCACCATCACCACTACTACCACCATAATTGTCGCCACCCCACCACCGCCCCACCACCACCATCCCCACTACCACCACCACCCCCACTGTTGTCATCACCTTACCACCACCATCACCCATATCACCACCACCATTACCATTGTCACCCACAACTGCCACTATCACAATTAGTCGTCATCACCCATCACAATCATCACCGTTTCTCACCACCACCACTGTCGTCCACCACAACTTGCCCCCACTATAACAGGTGGTTAAATTTACTTCTATTTTTCTCTATTTTTGTAATTTGATTTTGAGTATAAATATAAATATATTTATTGTAGACCTTTTTTTTTTTATTACTTTGTGTTTTCAGACACGAAAAATAACTAATATATATATATCAACACACAAATACACACAAACAAAACAATATACAAATACCTGATTTGCTAATATATATTATGTGGCAATCAAGCTACAATTCATGGCACAGACTCGAAATTGCTCACAAGTCATATTCGATATTGCGATTCCAAAGTTAGATTGATGAAGAATCAAATTTGAACTGGCTATTAGGTTATGATTGTGAAATTTTCACTAGATCTCTATTTCTCTCTCTCTCTCCTAAATTCTCTATTTCATATTTCAAAATTTATTTGAGTACATAAGAATTGATGGTTGTGGCATAGTTTTGGTGGTGGCCATCGTGGGTTTGTGAGTATGTAGTGGAGGAGGAGATGAATGGGTTTTGGACCATAAATGGGTTAGGGTTTCTGCTATATTTGTGTGTGAGGCGTTGAAAATGTAAGGAAGAGAGAAAGAGAGAGAGTTGTTTAGAAATTGGATGGTGTCCATGAATATCACTGGTGTCCATGAATATATATATATATATAGAGAGAGAGAGAGATGGGATAGTTGCTGATGACTAAGAATGGCTACCAATGCTCAGAGATATCGAGGGGATGTAGTCGCTAGTACTTGGATTGCTGGTGGTGACTTAGGATTGCCGACGATGTTCAGGGGTTAAATTAAGGGACTAGGAGTGTCTTAATACTTGATTATTTTGTTTTTCCATTTGTGCTCTATGTTTTACAAGCACAATGACATAAATGTCCGTCAATACTCTCATGTGTCAGGCACATAACATTTTTCGTCACTTTTTTTACGACAATTAGTATCAAAGAACACATTCGTTGAATGTTTGAACTTTGAGGATTAAATTAACGAAATTAAAACTTTGAGTACCAAAGTGCAATATACGTTAAATCTTTAGACACCATTGATGCAATTTACCCTTTTTATTCATATTTTTGGTATCATTTTTAAGTCAGTCTAGTGTTACTCAACAGTCATTTGTTTCTATATTAATTTAAACTAAGTAATTCCAAAAACCTTCAAGTTGTTGCTCTACCATGTCAGTTATAGAACAGTAGTCTACTGATTTCCTTCATGAAGGGTATGCTGCACTTTCAGAATATGTCTTGGTCTTCATATCGTATTTGCAGTTCTGAATGGAAGACTCTCGTTGGATGAGTTTATTCATGGGGTTGGGATTGTAGGGTTAGTGTCTCATATCATATGAGCAAGTTCAATGTTGCATTTTTCCAACGATTAAGGAATGGAAATACACCCAAAAAAAAGTTGAGAGGAGACGAGGAAAAGTGGATCCAGTGGAATCATTAAAGCAATTACTAACTAGAAGCGGGCTTGAAGTAGCCTTATTAACTACATCTCTTTTTGGATTGTAAATATTTATCAAAACTCATAATTGAATTAAAATTGAGATATTCGTGTAAGCTCTTCTCTTTTGAATCAGATAGATTCATATATGAAAGAGGTTGACAATAAATTCTTTTCAAAATTGACTTTTTGTTCCTCTATTAGAGATGTTCCGGAAACGTCTACGTTTGAATGAATAGCTCTACCAACAAATGGATCAGATCCAAAAGAGAATACTTGAGTTCTCTCAATAACTAAAAAGTGTAGAATGCCTAAATCTAAGGTGAAATAGTGAGGAACATAAGCAACTTGAATGCAAAGTTACAAAAAACCTTAATAGGAAAAAATGAAAATAAGATATAATAGTGGGCATTAGTTATGCATACATTTGTATCAACGCCTCCCAGATGCCACTGATTCCGAAGAGAAAAGGTACTTCACTCGTGAAAGAACAGAATCATGAGCAGGATCATATGGTTGGTCCTTGGAAGGAATCTCCAAAATTGCCGGAATTGGCATGTTGTAACTATCAACTAAAAACCTTATCATATTTGCGACCTGAAAACCAGTGAGCAGAGGANCACCACCACCATTACCATTGTCACCCACAACTGCCACTATCACAATTAGTCGTCATCACCCATCACAATCATCACCGTTTCTCACCACCACCACTGTCGTCCACCACAACTTGCCCCCACTATAACAGGTGGTTAAATTTACTTCTATTTTTCTCTATTTTTGTAATTTGATTTTGAGTATAAATATAAATATATTTATTGTAGACCTTTTTTTTTTTATTACTTTGTGTTTTCAGACACGAAAAATAACTAATATATATATATCAACACACAAATACACACAAACAAAACAATATACAAATACCTGATTTGCTAATATATATTATGTGGCAATCAAGCTACAATTCATGGCACAGACTCGAAATTGCTCACAAGTCATATTGGATATTGCGATTCCAAAGTTAGATTGATGAAGAATCAAATTTGAACTGGCTATTAGGTTATGATTGTGAAATTTTCACTAGATCTCTATTTCTCTCTCTCTCTCCTAAATTCTCTATTTCATATTTCAAAATTTATTTGAGTACATAAGAATTGATGGTTGTGGCATAGTTTTGGTGGTGGCCATCGTGGGTTTGTGAGTATGTAGTGGAGGAGGAGATGAATGGGTTTTGGACCATAAATGGGTTAGGGTTTCTGCTATATTTGTGTGTGAGGCGTTGAAAATGTAAGGAAGAGAGAAAGAGAGAGAGTTGTTTAGAAATTGGATGGTGTCCATGAATATCACTGGTGTCCATGAATATATATATATAGAGAGAGAGAGAGAGAGATGGGATAGTTGCTGATGACTAAGAATGGCTACCAATGCTCAGAGATATCGAGGGGATGTAGTCGCTAGTACTTGGATTGCTGGTGGTGACTTAGGATTGCCGACGATGTTCAGGGGTTAAATTAAGGGACTAGGAGTGTCTTAATACTTGATTATTTTGTTTTTCCATTTGTGCTCTATGTTTTACAAGCACAATGACATAAATGTCCGTCAATACTCTCATGTGTCAGGCACATAACATTTTTCGTCACTTTTTTTACGACAATTAGTATCAAAGAACACATTCGTTGAATGTTTGAACTTTGAGGATTAAATTAACGAAATTAAAACTTTGAGTACCAAAGTGCAATATACGTTAAATCTTTAGACACCATTGATGCAATTTACCCTTTTATTCATATTTTTGGTATCATTTTTAAGTCAGTCTAGTGTTACTCAACAGTCATTTGTTTCTATATTAATTTAAACTAAGTAATTCCAAAAACCTTCAAGTTGTTGCTCTACCATGTCAGTTATAGAACAGTAGTCTACTGATTTCCTTCATGAAGGGTATGCTGCACTTTCAGAATATGTCTTGGTCTTCATATCGTATTTGCAGTTCTGAATGGAAGACTCTCGTTGGATGAGTTTATTCATGGGGTTGGGATTGTAGGGTTAGTGTCTCATATCATATGAGCAAGTTCAATGTTGCATTTTTCCAACGATTAAGGAATGGAAATACACCCAAAAAAAAGTTGAGAGGAGACGAGGAAAAGTGGATCCAGTGGAATCATTAAAGCAATTACTAACTAGAAGCGGGCTTGAAGTAGCCTTATTAACTACATCTCTTTTTGGATTGTAAATATTTATCAAAACTCATAATTGAATTAAAATTGAGATATTCGTGTAAGCTCTTCTCTTTTGAATCAGATAGATTCATATATGAAAGAGGTTGACAATAAATTCTTTTTAAAATTGACTATTTGTTCCTCTATTAGAGATGTTCCGGAAACGTCTACGATTGACTAAAANCTTCTCTTTTGAATCAGATAGATTCATATATGAAAGAGGTTGACAATAAATTCTTTTCAAAATTGACTTTTTGTTCCTCTATTAGAGATGTTCCGGAAACGTCTACGTTTGAATAAAAAGCTCTACCAACAAATGGATCAGATCCAAAAGAGAATACTTGAGTTCTCTCAATAACTAAAAAGTGTAGAATGCCTAAATCTAAGGTGAAATAGTGAGGAACATAAGCAACTTGAATGCAAAGTTACAAAAAACCTTAATAGGAAAAAATGAAAATAAGATATAATAGTGGGCATTAGTTATGCATACATTTGTATCAACGCCTCCCAGATGCCACTGATTCCGAAGAGAAAAGGTACTTCACTCGTGAAAGAACAGAATCATGAGCAGGATCATATGGTTGGTCCTTGGAAGGAATCTCCAAAATTGCCGGAATTGGCATGTTGTAACTATCAACTAAAAACCTTATCATATTTGCGACCTGAAAACCAGTGAGCAGAGGAAAAATGAAACCATATAAGACCAACCCATCCAACTTCTCCAACCATCTATATGACTTTACCTACACACATTTTAGAGAGTAACACCAAGCGGCCCATCTGCTAACACAGCAATAGTATAATGGAAGACAAGCAGATGATGGTGCATAATTAACTTCACTTGCTTGTAGAACAAGACTGAGTTGGTTTGTTTGCTGTGCAACTGATTCCTCTTACTTAGATATCGAATCAATAGATGCTATCATGGTTCTGCAAAGCTAAGAAGCACCATGGGACACGGGACACGGGACACGGATACAACATAGACACACAGACACAACATTTTAAAAAAAATAGGACACAGGCACACAGCCAGGCCTCTCCCACAGTGGGGGCAACATAAAACTCAATAATAATGTTAACATATATTTTCGCAAAAATAACTGCATAAAAGAGCAATGTAAAAATTTTTTAAAAAAAATTATTATAAAGCTATCCATAAATGTCAATTCTTGAATTGAACTTTCTATTACCAACTGTTAGACAAAAAAAATATAAGTAATAATAACATCACCTTAATTATAGTGCTAAGAAAATAAAAAAAAATCGCAAAAACTGTTGAAATCAAAAAAACTATTTATGCGTTATCTCTCACAATAGCTCTAGCAGAATTTCTCATTTTCTTTAAAGCTATCCACTAAATGTACCAGATATACACTAATAAAATTCAAAAACGAATTGACAAAAGATTAAAGAGAGATAAGTAAAGGGTTACCAAAAGAGAAAATTCTAATAAAATAATGTTTACAATTGTGTATAGTTATGCTCATATCTTATTGGATTTGCACTATGTATCAGTTATGTTTAATAAGAACGTGTTGCGTTTATCTACATTCATGTCAAATCATTTATTTGAGAGATCTAATAGGTCCATTCATTATCACCTAAATCTATTAAGGTTAAACCACCCTAATTCTTAATTAATTTTGTGACATATTTATGAATCATATTAAAATTGTGAGCACTATAATACTTAATTAAAAATATCCAAATAAGGAAAATTGAATGTCATTGGCCTATAGAGATCGAGTGTGACCCAAAATAAATGCAAATCTGTTAGAATTTTAATTAAATGTTTGTTTCATTTGGAATTATTAGATCTAACAATGAGGACATATACTTGGGATCACTTTAAATTTTTGTTGGAGACTTTTTTTTGGGACAAATTTTGTTGGAGTAAAGATAAATCTGTTTTTTTTATTTTTTTATGTTTCATTTTAGCTCTATAGTCCCCAAATACGTAGAGGCCGACACATGGACCCCACTCAACCTGCAAGTCTACCAAATTTGCAGAAGCCCTAGATTTAAAATACATAATACCCCTAAATCTTTTACAATATTTCAATGGGAGCAAGATCCTAAAATTTTGAAATGCTAAATGCATCCCAAATATTTTCAAAATTGTAGTGGGGTCAGTGGGTAGCCCTGCAAAACTATATAATTTATTGCAAGCATAGTGATAATCATACATTATTCATAAAAAAACCCACCACTTTATGATAGCTAAATACTATATCTAGTAATCTATTGTGAATTTTTGGACCAAAGCATCATTTATTTTTATTATTATATTTTGATTACAATTTTAAAATGTCTAATCTTGGTAATTATATACTCTCTCATAGTATCAGATACATACTAGTTAAATTTTTAAGCTTAGTTAATCACATGTCAACATATGTTTATTGTTTAGCAATTTTCAAAACCTAAAAAAGTGTTAAAACACGTTACCAAAGAAGTGTCGGACTAGAGTCCAAAATTAAAATTTTATCATTTAATTATGGACACGAATAAAAGAGTATCAGACATGTGTCCGAAAACATCTGTAGAGTGTCGGTGTCTGACACGAATACATCACCTTCTTGAGAGTGTGTGCTTCATCTGCAAAGGCATTCGAGTTTTTCTTCTTGGTATCACAACAAAAATACAATATAGTCCTAAAAAATCACTTATATGATGCCATGTTCATGCTGCTTACTTAGTGTATGCTCAAACACCACTCTATCCAAATAAAACCATATTAATTGACACAATCGTGACCATAAAGGAGGAGAACACATGATAGAGTAAACAGAAGAACTTACATATTGGCTGATCAAGACTATTGCAATGTTCTCTCTTGCTGTGAACTCTTTGAATGCGTCTTCAATCTGTTTAGCCGTGGTTTCTGGTCCAGAATACAGAATACTCTATGAGAAATAATAACATTCACTTGTTNATAGTATAATGGAAGACAAGCAGATGATGGTGCATAATTAACTTCACTTGCTTGTAGAACAAGACTGAGTTGGTTTGTTTGCTGTGCAACTGATTCCTCTTACTTAGATATCGAATCAATAGATGCTATCATGGTTCTGCAAAGCTAAGAAGCACCATGGGACACGGGACACGGATACAACATAGACACACAGACACAACATTTTAAAAAAAATAGGACACAGGCACACAGCCAGGCCTCTCCCACAGTGGGGGCAACATAAAACTCAATAATAATGTTAACATATATTTTCGCAAAAATAACTGCATAAAAGAGCAATGTAAAAATTTTTTAAAAAAAATTATTATAAAGCTATCCATAAATGTCAATTCTTGAATTGAACTTTCTATTACCAACTGTTAGACAAAAAAAATATAAGTAATAATAACATCACCTTAATTATAGTGCTAAGAAAATAAAAAAAAATCGCAAAAACTGTTGAAATCAAAAAAACTATTTATGCGTTATCTCTCACAATAGCTCTAGCAGAATTTCTCATTTTCTTTAAAGCTATCCACTAAATGTACCAGATATACACTAATAAAATTCAAAAACGAATTGACAAAAGATTAAAGAGAGATAAGTAAAGGGTTACCAAAAGAGAAAATTCTAATAAAATAATGTTTACAATTGTGTATAGTTATGCTCATATCTTATTGGATTTGCACTATGTATCAGTTATGTTTAATAAGAACGTGTTGCGTTTATCTACATTCATGTCAAATCATTTATTTGAGAGATCTAATAGGTCCATTCATTATCACCTAAATCTATTAAGGTTAAACCACCCTAATTCTTAATTAATTTTGTGACATATTTATGAATCATATTAAAATTGTGAGCACTATAATACTTAATTAAAAATATCCAAATAAGGAAAATTGAATGTCATTGGCCTATAGAGATCGAGTGTGACCCAAAATAAATGCAAATCTGTTAGAATTTTAATTAAATGTTTGTTTCATTTGGAATTATTAGATCTAACAATGAGGACATATACTTGGGATCACTTTAAATTTTTGTTGGAGACTTTTTTTTGGGACAAATTTTGTTGGAGTAAAGATAAATCTGTTTTTTTT